CCAACCGCGTTCGTTAACTCTCGCATTCTGCCTATTATTCTCTATTGTTTCCCCTTAGTTTTTCCAGGGCTACTGAAGATAGACTATACCTTATTACGCAGGATGTTAAAGGTTGTCAGGAGGGTAAACAACGTGCCACTTGACCAGATTGTTAATATTCTGGTTGACAGGCACTTGGAATCATATGAAAAATGGGCTAAATCCATTCTATTTACATAACTCACATCACCCTCTTCATTTACAACTCTCCCCTTGTATCTCACCAGGTAAGACCAGAAGCCTATATAGAAAGCTATATGCTCGCACTAGCAAGTACAAAAACTCAACCATACCCTAATTAGCTCGTGTTCAGTGACATAAAGAAAGCATTTGGCGTGAAACTTATAACTTAATAAATAGTCAGTAGAACAACTGGAACTCGTCTTTCCAACTCTTATCTTTTATAGGTACAACGTTTTCTTTCTTTCTTTCCTTTTCTCTTCTTTTTCGGTTATGTGCAGCTTTGTTTCTTTCTTCTGCTTACGCCAGTAAATATTCTAGAACCTACTTTTCTAACACCTTCAAACACTTTGTTCAATTTTGGCTTTGCTACCGAAATGCCAATATGCTGTTGTCATAACGAACTGAGATTACCCCTTAATCTATGTTTAATTTTATTTATTGATAATGTACTAACTGGATGGAATACTGTAGTAAAATGCTGAGAATTACATTCTGTATCGCAAGTACTGTTTTGGAATAAAGCAAATTATTATTATTATTATTATTAATTATTATTATTATGTAATAGAAGTAGTGTTAAGCGTCGAACCTCCAACTAATTATGCTATTAGCAAACTAGTTGGCTCTTCTGCCTTCTATTTCTAATCCAAGCTCAGAATTTTTGATTTCACTTATAATTTTAGCTATTAACATTATTACCCATCATCATCATTAATTTACACTTCTTGTATATTTTTGAGTCTATTGTCACAGTAAATACCAAGAAAGCTGCTACTATCAGTCCAGTGACATTAATTTACTTTTTCGAATTTAGTTTTTGACTTTCTCTAGTAAATTAGACTCACTATTGTGCGAGATGCTAAAAATTCCACGCTGTATCTTAATTGACTTTTTGGAATTGAGCAGAATATCATTATTATTATTATTACTATAGAACAACCATTCTGACCTAATTTGGAAGTCTTCAGCATTTCGCAATCATGACCCAACCACAGTTCAGATCCAGAATCTAGAGGTTACGAAGCGAGTTTGTTGACCATTAGGTCCATGAGACGGAATAAAATGGTCCATTGATTCTAACTAATATATAAACATATACATCGGTAGGTGGATAGGTAGGTAGGTAGATGGATAGATAGTTAGCGTGAGTTATTAATTCATAACAACCCTATTCTGTTTGCATATGCTGAAAATAATTTTTCACATGAACAGTTATTTTTCCTACCATTTTTGTCCATTTTATTTCTTTTTTATCACGTGATTGGTTATACAAAAACAAAATTGTTACAATAATTCAAAACTTAGACACTTATATAAGTTTTCGTTGCTATCATCAAATAAGCTTGTATTCTATTGGTCAATAATCCAGCATGATTCTAACGTATATCAATTGCCAATCAATCTCCTGTTGAAAACTAGTTATCCTGGAGGTGATCTATGTAGACATGCACATCGAATATACAAGCAGGTTTACATTAATCTACAGAAAATTATAAATTATTGAAGTAAATTTCACCTTTAGATACCCGAAAGGGGAAAATGCACCAATGAATCACCTTGGTACACTCAGTCAGAACAATCAGACTGTGAAACCAAGTAAATGGTAGTATAATCATGGATTAAAATGTAATGAGATATTAAATAAGGCATCAGGTTAGGTATAAATGATGGCGAGGGTTAGGTTGACCTGATTAGATAGTTGTTAGGGTTGAGTGGTCAAAATTATAATTTAAGGGTTATCTCCTGTTCTAAGGTCTTACGTGCGTGTACGCCTCATCGGTGTTTAAACATTAACAACGAACTCCTAGGAACGTGGACTGCCAGAAACCACTTTTGCGTAATTCCTCCTGTTCACTTTGTGTAACAGAATTGAACATAGGTTGACATCAGTTACGGAAGCAACGGAAAGCCCCATGAGAGTATTGAATGGGGTCCCCATCCAATGGCCTATGAATTTCAACTTCTTCCATTTAGCGCAACATCTAGTCCACCTGATTCAATGGACTCACCAAAATGCTAGGTTACTTCCTACGGTTGAATGGTCTTCGAGCTCACCCTGTAACCAAAAAGCTCTGGGTCAGACTTCCAGGTGGTGCGAGAGAACGTCCGATAAGTCCCAAATCAAAGTGATGAAACAACTGTCCATTATTTCTCTAACTGATATCAACTCATGACCAGAAAAGTTTTTTGTCTGAGTTGTCTGTTTATTTCGCTAACCCAGTAAAATAAAAACAAATAACACTTTCAAGAACTTAAACAACAATTAGGAATGAAATGATGAGATAGGAAAAACAGAAGAAAACACCTGTGTGATATATGTGATAGTTATGATGACTAAAATTCAGTTAGTTTCACGACATGCACTAAAAATTAAACATAGAACTGTAATTCCATATCAGTGATGAAAGAAAGAAACATAACCATCGAGCGAAAAAACCGACAAAAGAATCGATATATATAAATATGTGGTGTTGTGAAAGAGAACAACTTGCGTCTTACTTGAAATAACTGTGAAACAAATAAACAGAATTAACAAGAGAGGGAAATTAATGTAAAGTCTGCGTTTGGTTGCGGTTGGTTATTCAAAAACCTGTGGTAACTCTGTGAAATGAATAGGGACTCTGGGACATCGACTTCGTTTTGAATAATTTCGGCATTCTTCTTTCTTTGTTTTGAGTGGGACGTAGGGTCCCACACCAGTATAAGCTTTGAAGTTTCAGAAGAAGTGGTGATTATTTTCACTACCTACAACCTTTCCTCTTTACCAGGCTTAGTAAGGACTAAGTGAAGGTTAAGAAAGAGTCGGCTGGGAATCAAGGTGTGGTTGGTGAGCATTCAATCACTGAAACACCGACATACAACTTCAACACAGTTGATCGCTAGTGTCATTTCGGGTGACGGTAGACAAGGGTGGAATCCAGGATTATTTTTAAATGCGAAACCATCTTTCACTGGGAAACTAGTTACATCCCGTTAATGAAGTTCAGATAGGATGAAATGTGACAGCTGGATGCCATTGCTGGCAAACACCAACCGAAAAATATCGTAATTGGTACAACTGTGCTTTCTGTTGTGTTGATATTTTATTTCCGATTAGATTCATTATAAACCGCTAATCTGACTGAAACAACTTGTGTTATGCATGTGAAGCTAACGTCTTCCACGTCAAATAACGTCGACTAATACGGGATTGTGTTGGAAAAGAATTCAAGATCATTATATACAATTCCAGGAACAGTTCATATGGTCATTTGTTGTTGTTTCTAGCTACCTACAGAGAGCTAGATTGTTAAACAGGGGTCCTTAAGAGGCTAAGAATCAATAGATTGAAACTATCTATGATATATATCAAAAAACTTCTCAATAGTGCAGATATATCCGCTCATTTTGGTCTTCCAAATTATTTTCCATTATTCTTATGCCTCACTCTGCAAGAACTGGCGTAGAATAATGCGAGATTCAGGAAAAAAAATCATGTGCTGATCAAATTGCAACTGTACGCACCATTATCCAAAAAAGAATAGAATGGCAGTCAAACCGGAACCTCACCTTCATCAACTTAGAAAAAGCCTTCGATAGAGTAGATCGAGAAGTGATTTGGAAACTACTTCAACTCTACAGCTTACCTCAAGTCTTTATCCACCTCATTCAACAGCTGGAAACGTGTCAAGTGATCCACAATGGAAAACCTATCGAGGTATTTCAATTAAAGACGGGTAAGACAAGACCGCTGCAGAAACTTCAAGCCACTAGCTTGAAGCTCTATGTTCCACTGGGGAACATAAAGGAAAAAAGTTAAGACTGTCTATTATCACTGATGATATTCTTAATTGTGGCAGACTGGATTATGCACTAAACTGTGGGCAGCGGGAAGGCAGCAATACACTAGGCACCGATAAGAAACCTCTAGAGGTTCTGGATTAAGAAGATAATTTATGCTTTAATGTCACAAACACGCGAAGATGCACAGGTTAAAACCAAACAAACTAGCTGAAGAGGCAGCGATAACAGGAATCCAGGTGAACACTGAGAAGACTGAGGTGATCAAGATAACCAACCAACATTAACAGCAAAAATAATCAACACCAATTACAATCAACTGGAGAGATTTGATGAAAATTACCTTCATCACTTATCTAGCCAGGCAGTGTCGTTTCAATTACAGGTGGAACGGATGAACACGTTAAAGGCAGCCACAATTGGAAAGGCAAGATACGCCTCCATCAACATGAAATCGGTATGGAAATCTTCCGCGCTCAGCATAAAGAACAAGCGTGACTAGCGTGTCACGAAAAGGATTATTAACAGGTTGCATAGTTCTATCAACAACTGCCTTCACTGGTTCCATACTGAAGATCAAATGGCTATTCAGGACTGGTAAAGCGAGACAGGCGTTCATTACTCTAAAAATCTACAACGTTTATCACATGAAACAACATCTAAGTATTTAAAAATTAGACCAAGTCAATGTCCCTAAATGGCTCATCAAAACAAAAAACTTCCAACAAACCGTCGACTATCAATCAGTAGATGTCACATGACATTTTCTCGAGTGAAACTCGAATGAGAAAAGAAACTCTGGGTATAAGTCTAAAAGTGGTATGGAGAAGATGTTGTGAATAAGGAATTTAAAGTTTGTGGACATTTACAGAACCAGTGGAAAACGAGAGCAGTGAAGTAAGGGTAACGCATATTTTACTCTGAGACTGTATATCCCACTCAAAATGAATAATCATAATTACAATAATAATAATAGTAATAGTGATGGATGAACTTACTTTCCCTGTTCATGGAGCATAGTCACAGAATCGATTACTGTGGCGGTTAATTCATCAACTGAATGTGTTTCATTCTCTGTAGATGATTCTTTGATAGTCGGTTGTCTACTTTTCTGATTGCTTTTGGACAATTTTGTACTTTGTTGTAGAATCTTTATTTGATGAATGGGTTAGAAAGAAAGATGGATCAATAAAATAATGATGGATGGAAATACATAAAATTTAGATTGTTTCACTATGATTTTTAAACTTTTGTATTCTTTGTTAATTCAAATTTACAACCGAATAAATTAATCTAGTCTATCTTCTATGAAAGCATATGCTTAGCCATATTCATATTTTCAAAACGATGCAATTGAATATTGGCAAAGTTCAACAATAACGTCTCAAAGGATAAGAACGCACGAGTTTCCTTGAGCCGATCAATCATAAAAAATTGAGAAATGCTTGCACAAAAGTCACGTTTATTTACAAGAAAATGCATGAAGACACATTTAACAGGGTACCTTTCTCTCACATGACTTAAAAATACATCCTAGTTACAATGAGGACTATCAGTTACTAAATTAGACTAGTTTCTGTACATGTATTCAAAGAGGTAACTGAAGATGAGCTGTTTTTGTCAATCGTTTATCTCTCTTATCCTGTTTTGCAGGCTTCTCCAACCCCTAGGTTGAATTACAGTGGTATGGTTTCGAGTAAGAGGATCGACGACTACTTACCAGGGAAATGTGGTACAGCGGTTAGGAGTCTTGCCGACCATGCACATGGTCCGGGATCCGATCCCCTGCCGACGCACACCTGATATCTATGGTCGACCTTCAAAATTTGGGCTACCGATATCACATGCTGAAAATTCCATACTTGTACCAAAAATACAGTGTGGAATCAAGCTGTAATCAAAATAAATAAAAATAAATGACATAAACTACACATCTACTCCTAATCGAAACCCTAACCTAAATCCTGACCTTTACGCTAACCCTAACCCTAATTACAACCCTAATCCAAACCGTAATTCTAACCTCAATACTTACCTTTACCCTAATCCCAACCCTAACGAGCTATTAACACATTGTCAAAACAGTACTTAGAAACATGATCTGGATGAAATTTGCTGCTTAGCTGGTTAACAAGCGTTGATATTTCAGCTATGATAATGACAGTGCCGTTAACCAACGACTAGCATGTGTTTAAGGTCATTGGGGCGCTCATACTCCTGGGAAGCGCGTTATTGTCGAACTTCTCCACAGTTTATTTTCATATTAATACCATTCAGACATGAGATAATATCAACTTAAAGATCATCATTAATTTCAACGAAGACTTACTCTTCTCTCCATTTTGGAAAAATTTTATTTTCATAAAGTCTCACACAGTGTTATACACTAAGTAATATTCACTGATGACAACGTTTCGAGCAAAATTTATTACCGCTCATAATTATATCAAGGCAGTCACACACACACACACAACTTTCTTGCTTTATTTATATACACATAGGTAAAAATTGATAATTACACATTTGAATAAAATCGATATAAGTAAGATACTCTACCGAACGAAATGCGCAAGTTCTATCCTTATATCAAATTACTCTTTTTCATTTAGTGTGATATTATATTATTCTCAAGGTGTAAAGTTACATGCTAATAGTAAATTGTTATCTTAGTAACAAAAAGGAATATTTTCAAAAATGTTTGATTGGAACTATAAATGTTTTTTTAATGACAAAATTTCTGTGATATAAAAAAGCTTTATTCGGGTAGAAACTCAAATAGAATTCAATTTACTACGCATCATCATCCAACAAAGCATGGAAGGAATGGCAATCAAACCTCTACCTCAACTTTATAGACTTTGAAAAGGCCTTCATCAGACAGCGTTGACTGCGAAGTAATTTGCAAACTACTCGAGTACTACAGTGTGCAGCGCACAAATATTCATCAACCTTATTCAACAGCTGTACGACAACGGAACATGTCAAGTGATCCACAATGGAAAACTCAGCGAGGCGTTTGGAGGAAACACAGTAATCAGACAAGGTGCTTATTATCACCCACGATGATATTCCTTATTGTGGTGGACTGACTGGATTATGCGTCAGACAGTGGGAAACGAGAAGACAGGGATATCCTAGACAGAGAGACGCGAAGAACCTAGAAGATCTGGATTTCGCGCGTGGATGATTTATGTTTGCTGTCACACAAAATCGGAGACTTACAAGCGAAAACCGTCAAACTGGTCGAAGAAGCAGCCGGCGAAGACGGGACTCCAGGTGAACATAGACAAGACGGAGGTTATGAAAATAACCAACCAACCAACAACAACAGCAACATCCAGCGTCAATCACCATCAACGGGAGGGATTTGAAAGAGGTCACTTCATTCACTTATCTAGGGAGCTTTGTCTCAACTACAGGAGGAACGGACGAGGAAGATGTCAAATCGAGAATCGGGAAGGTGAGAAACACATTCATCAACCTGAAACCAATCTGGAAATCTTCGTCACTCAGCCAGAATCAATGACAAAATTCGGATTTTCATTACAAACGTCAAGTCACTTCTCCTATATGGATCAGAAACTTGTTGGGCGGGTCACAAAGAATATCTCCAACAGGCTATTGTAGGCCTTTATCAACAACTGTCTTCGCTCTTTACTGAAGATCAGATGGCGGTGCCGGAAATGAATCACCAACAAGAAACTATGCGATCAAACAAAACAAGAACCAATCGCCAACCAACACATATGAAGGAGAAAGTAGCGATGGATCGGACACTCGCTGAGGAGGCCGGTTGGTGACATCGCGCGTGCGTCAGGCCATTGCTTGAGTGGCTTCCGAAAGGGAAGTGGCGAGTAGGACGTCAGTGCAAGGGTGACATGGAGGAGATAGAGTGAAGAGGAGTTGAAAGAGTATGGACTAACATGGACGCAGGTGCAGGTGAAAAGTACAGCAGAAGGAAGACAGAAGCAAGTGGAGACGTGCAGGTGAAGCCCTATTTTCCACTAGGAACCCAAGGGAGCAATAATGATAATAAGTAAATTAAATGACAATGTATTTATTTATCTTTTATTATGGCTTGACTCCACATCGTAATTTTAGTACAAGTGTGAAATTTTCAGCATGTGATTTTGGGAGCCCAAATTTTACAGGTCGATCATTGCATATCAAGTGTACGTCGGCAAGAGATCGAACGCTGGATCATGTGCATGGTCGGCGAGAGTCCTAACCGCTGTGCCACTGACTCACAATTGTTGCTAACTAGTTTCAAGAAAGTGTACATCGCAAGGAACATTGCGTCTGCATAAAGAAACGGTGAAACTATGTTCAGATAGTCAAATTCTCCACTTATATTCATCAAAGTTGTTTGCAAACCATGCATGTGATTGTTGGGATTGAGTAAAGTTCAACCCAAAATTGAACGGGAATCACGTCAGCAACAGTGGTAATAAGGGATGGAAATTTAATGTATCTGGTGTTAAGACTGATCAGGTCCGTTGTCGGCTTAGTAACTGAAAAAATTTATCGTGTATGCCACCAACGTTTCTGCGGTCTGAAGAAGATTGATTTGTACTCTTTTAGCAAGAATCCCGCGTATTCTATAGATGACTCTGGAGGATGCTTGTGAGTTAGTTTGGTATCCAGGTTTGGTCAGGTGTTCAAGGATTGAGCCGTGATGGAGAGATCTTTTTTCCCCTTTATAAAACCATAAAGGTAGGTGTTCGGTGATACATCTGCATATCAAAATCTGAGTACTGCCTACAAACTTGGCTTCACAGGAGCAGATGAATTGATGAGGTAGCCAGCAGTGGTAGCTTATCCTTCATGTTCTCGCTAGTTATTTGTTTTGTAGAGGAATGTCTACCGCATGTTACCACTGTTGTTAACTTGAATCTCATCCAATTTTAAGTTGAATTCTACTCAGTAGCATCAGTTACACTGCGTCACTCAATCTACTTACTGAATTGTATTTTAGTTTCTACCGAATTAATGCTCTCTACATTATGTAGTTATTTATCTGAAATGTACAGTTCTAATGATATATCTTTGGAAATATTCCTTTTGTCGCTAAGACAACAATTTACGATAAATGCACGACTGTACAGCCTAAGAATGATATCGCTGAAAAGCATAACTCTTCGCTGAATGTATTTTCTTTGCTATGACTCGGTGAGGATTTTCAATTTGATATATATATATATATATATATATATATATATAGTGTGCGTCGGTGGCACGGCGGTAGAATGCCTGCCAACCATGCCTCATGTGGTTCGAGTTTCGATCCCCGGCTGAAATACTCCTTTACCTCACTAAGCCAGTAATTAGACTGGTAAAGAGGGAAGTTTGGGCATGGGGCTAGCAACCCCATCCCGGAGAAATAAACACCACCTCTACCGAAACCTCAGGTCTTTAGCTTGAAGCCCTGTGTTCCACTGGGAACGTAAAGGAATAAAATATATATATTCTTTCCCCTATTGTTTGTTGCCACTTTCCACATCTCCAGAATAGGCGTTATGTCCTTTCGATTGAACGCGTCTGGTGTTCAATAGACAAACAAAGCCTCAGTGACTAACCTCTCTCCTCTTTTCACCTAACTATGTTCTTCTTTAATACTCTCAACCTGTCCCACCTCACCTGTTGTGTGATTACATAGAATGCAATGCAATGGCCGAGATTTTTCTCAAGTTATCTAACTCAGCAGGGTCAACCATTCTAACTGCAGCTAAATTTTGATGTTCTAATAATCTAATTGACCCAGATCTTCAAGTATTGGTTTTTAGGGATTTGATTGATTGGTTACAGCATTTCATCACCATTGAAAAACCTGGTAGTACTGGACAGCTGTTTCGTCCACCAGAGTTCGAATTCAGGACCTTCCGTTTACAAGGTGACCATTATGATGAAATCCTGTAACCAATCAATCAAATCTCTACAAACCAATACTTGAATATCAATGAGATGCTCACTTGCTTGCTTTGTGACCAGAAGATCCTGGGTTTGAACTCCGGCGGGTGCGTAGTGATAAAGTGTCCCAAACTAGGACGAAACAGCTGTCCAGCACTCCCAGGTTTTCCAATGGTTCTCTAACCAATGCCAGCTCATGATGAAATCCTGTGACCCACATTTACTGTTTTCACTCATGTCATAGATCTCACAGTCATTAAATGATATTTGGTCAGTTATTTTATTTTCCTTAATTCAATCTATCGGGCCTTTAGTCGGACAAAGTTTGTCTATAAGTAAGCTGGTTGAATGCTGCCCGAATTCCAGACTGATTGAGAATCCTAAGTAAGCCCCGTGACGTTCCTTCTTTATACGACAGTTCTAGAGAGGCTTTGATTCCTACATTATTTTCATTGTTTTTCATTACAAATCTTATTTTTTTCGATGGTTCTTTATATACTTCTGAAGGCATTCTGGTGAGTAGTGTGTTACAATCCACTAGTAAAGTTTTTCTGTCTAATTTCATTACTTAAATGTTCTATATTACTAGTTAGTTAGGCTTCTGGCCCAATTATAGAGACAATTTAATTAAAGTTATGTTTACCTGTTTTGGCTGGAATGAATTTAGGTCTGAACATTTATTATTAGAGTGTAGGCCGGTTTTCTAACTAGTACCAAACGCCCCATCTTGTTTTCGTTTTATTATATAGTCTAGCATAGCTAACTCGGCTTTCTTACTGAAAAGTAAGTTGGATTCCATCTAGCATTCGGTTTATATGTGTTAATAACGTAGAGATATGTTCAGATCTCGACACAAAGAACGTATGTCATCCAAATGCCTCCACCATAACCTGGAAGAAGGATTAAACGTTCTAAGAAGCTTATGCTCCAGCTACAACTATGTGGCACCTTGGTGATTCAGATAGTCACACTAAAAATAAGCGCTGAAGATATTATCCAATAAGCATGTGAAAATCTTAGTGTAAAGCTTTTAATTAATGGATATCATAGGACTTTGATTGAAAAATAAATCACTCGTATCCAAGTTATAGCGTAGGAGGAGACACTAATTATTTACTTTGTATGCAAAGATGAGACCGCTACAAAAGAGCTTGGAATTCATCTAACCAAGAGTATCTAACGCACCTTCTTTACAGCTGACTTACACTTTTTATTGACGAGTCTGGGTTTGATTCAGCGATGTGTCAAGGATAGACTGAGGCTTATTTTCACCTCTAATCTAATCTAATATCATCTAATCAGTGTGCACCGTGATGACGAGCTATCTAGAATGGTGGCCACACTGCAAACCAGAATGATTGATAGCATTCAGTCTACACCAAAGAAAGGACTAGACACATCACACTAGCTACTAGTGTCCAATCAAAGTAAGTACTAACTTCTTTGCTGATATTCTATTTTGATAGGCAAATTTAATTTAATTTTTTTTTAATTTTTGATTACAGCTTGATTCCATACTGTATTTTTGGTACAAGTATGGAATTTTCAGCATGGATATCGGTAGCCCAAATTTCGCAGGCCGACCATAGATATCAGGTGTGCGCCGGCGTGGGCTCGAACCCCGGACCATGTGCATGGTCGGCGAGAGTCCTAACCACTGTGCCACCGACGCACACAAAACATCTAATATAGAGGGAAAATCTGGAAACACTCACCTCATCCATTTCTGTCCTCGACTGTATTCTATTCGAAGCGACATCTAAATCACCTGAACTTTCAGTAGTGGTGATTGTTGTAAGGATAGGAGTATTGATAGTACTTGTGATAGTATTATTATTATTGTTACTGTTAGTGGCATTTCTCAGTTGACTTAATAATCGCCATTCATTATTGGCAAAATTTTTCAATTCTTGATAAAAGTCATCTATAGTTAATGCTTCAGAAATACACTAAAAAAATAAAGAAACAAATCAAAAAGCCAAAATTAGCGGGATTTACTTTCATTTGAAAAAATTTGATGACAGGTTTTCTTGTTTTTCAAGACAAATCGGTTAATACATTTATACATACCTGTTAGTTGACTTATCCAGGCAGCATCGTTTCAACAGCAGGCGACAGCACGGATGATGACGTCAAAACCAGCCATAATCGGAAAGGCTAGACAGACATTTGTCACTCTGAAACCAGTTTGGAAATCGTCTGCACTCCACAGTATAAAGAACAACATTCAGATTTGCAACATAAATTTAAGTCAGCATGCCACAGCGGTAGAATGCTCGGCCAACCACGCCTCATGTGGTTCGGGTTTCGATCCACGGCTGAAGTACTCCTCTACCTCATTAAGCCAGTAATTAGACTGGTAAAGAGGCAAGGTTGAGCATGGGTCCAGAAAATCCATCTCGTAAAATTAAAACCCACTGCTACGGAAACTTTAAGCCTCCAGCTTGAAGCCCTAAAGTCCAATGGAAACGTAAAGGAATAAAAATCAATCAAGTCAGTGCGTCACGAGAAGGCTTTCTAACAGGCTATTGCAGACTTTTATCATCAGCTGCCTTCACTGACTCCTTAATAAAGGTCAAACGACCAGAAAGGATTAGCAACTTGTTGCATAGCAGTTATGCAGCAGAAAGTGAAGATGGATTGTGCGCACACTGAGGAGATCGTTGGCTGACATTCCGTGCCAGGCAGTCGCTCAGTTAGAATCCGAATGCAGGATGACAAGTTGGATATGAGTTCAAGAATGGCGTCGAGAAGATGGTACGAGGAGGCGATCAGGAAACAGAGGCAATCGTGAGGTCAGATAAAAAGGACCGCAGAGAATAGAAAAAAGTGAAGATGTGCTGTTGAATCCCTATGTTCCACTTGGAACCCAAGGGAATAACAATAACTTTAATTTCACATAGGGGTCTGCAATAGCTGATGAGAACCTGTGAAATAGAATGATGATATCATTTTATACTCCGAATTTGGTCTTTATTTCATCATCGATACTTTCTCATTTGCATTCACACAAGTCTACTATAGCTGTGATTGTGGCAGAGTATTTTGTTGGATAGAGTTTTGGCGTTTGAACTGATGGATACTGGCTTTGAATCTCGGTGGGGGTTCTCACCAATCCTCTGAAATGTAGTCAGATCTATAAGGTGAAACACGCCCTTTAGATTCTACAACCACTTGAAGGCATTATGTGTTGTAGAACAAAAAACTTAGTTGTAACCATAATAGCATGAATACAATGATGCTATTATTTAGTAATAATAATGACGATAATGAGAAATAAGGAAAATTGTTAGCAGCTACACTTTTCAATAAACAAAGTGAACTCATTCTCGTTTTACTGGAATCATGTTACTTAGTATCTCATTCTACTTTTCTTGTTATTAAGACTATTATATTGAAAAATTGAGTATTTTTCTCCTATAGAGTTGCATTCTCCACACATACACACATATATAGGCATATTATCTTCAACCGGTAGAGCAATTAAGGACAAGTAGCCATTAGCGACGACATTTGGTAGTGTTACTCGCGGTAAATATGTCATAAATTGGTAGAAGCTGAAACTCATGAACTGGCTATTGAGTTGGTTGAAGCGGTCTGCAAGCTCAGCTTATAACGGGAAGGTTCTAGGTTCGAACCTTAGTTATTTGAGTGGATGCGTAATGTCAATGAGTGTCAGACTAGGCTGAAGAAAAAGCTGACTGTTCAGTACTCTGGATCATTGCTCTCTAAGACATCACTCGAGTGAAACTCGAATTGGAAACGATGAGTTGGACGTTGGCTGACATGAAGGAGATCATGTGAAGTGGAGGTACTACCATATGGGAAAGCGTAAAGCCAGCTAAAGTAGATAGCAGAGAACAGAATGAATTTGAGGCGTCCTAGTGAAGCCCTGTGTTCCACATGGGACAACTATTGCTCACTTTCTTCTTGGAGTGGAAGATTTCAGTGGCACACCACTGCAGCACCCACTTCTCTGTTGTCACATTAAGCTGACTTCATCACATCTGTAAGCTTTCTTTTTCTTCTCACGTCAGACTTAGACTCACGACAAACTCGTTATTTTCCATTCAAGTTCAACACGAAGGTCTCTTTGGCGCACAGTATAACTTGAATATCTATTTGGGCTATGTTTAATCCATTCTCATTTCCATTTGCGTGTTAGGTGGGCAACAGACGGTTTCGCTGCCAGAGTTCTCAGTTGCTTGAGTATCCTTTCTAACCATATGATCTTACCTGACAGGTGTACCAAGCTTTTCTTATTGAAATGTTCTGGTTATTCCATTCCTAAGATCCCTGAGAAATTACAACTAAAAAGACGTCTGCGTCAAATCTTCAAAGTTATTCAAGCACATAAGTAAAACTGCCGAATTTCGCCTTCTAACTATTATAATATATATGACGAGAGGTCCTAATTTCATATCCATTCAACTATTCTTTCACCTATCCACCCTCTGCCACTTCTGACACACCTCTCGTGCCCATGTCCATGTCCGCCGAGGAAGTGTATCTCGGAGACACGGAACGGAACATGCATAATTACTATATGAATTGGCTTTCCACTGTTCAATATTTAATTTTGCATACTTTACAAGGGTAGAAACAGAATGAGGAAGAAAATCAGGTCAAAATAGGAGAGAAAGAAAGTAGGAAATAAAAACTAGAGAGTAATAATTTAATCACGAAAAGTAACAATGTCAGAAATTTACAAGTTGTAACATGAATATTACGAATATTAATTATTACTTTTTTTGTGTTTAAGCTTACTAATCGATTGAAAACACTTTTCTTCCGGTGGAATAGAATAAGGCAAGACACACTGTATTTTTCTAATAGAGAGTGTTATCAGAGTTATAATGGCATCTATCACCTTTTTAAATACCGTTGACTGTTTGACAGACTGTCTGTCTGTCTGGATTCAACATAGAACTTGGCACCGAAGTGCAGCAGTTCGAGTTGCCACGTTCCAAATTGACAGACTGAGTGAATAAGAAGTACCGAGAGCCGCAAAGAAGTGCTGTGTTTTAAGATGCCCTAAACCTTCATTATTATGACTGTTACCTTAGGTTTCCAGTGGAATATAAGGCTTCACAGCAGTACATCTCCACTTTGTCCTATTTCCTGCTGTCCTCATTTCTCTCACCTCTTCTTCACACAATCACATTCAATGTCACTCTCGAAGCGAGGCTAAGTCCTGGTCTTCTAGAGTCATATTTTCGGTTTGTTGTATTCGTGTCTTCTCGCTCCCTTGCAGATTCTTCGTCAGAATTAAGTCTAACACTATCAGGAATATCGTCCGTGATAGTAGGCAGGCTTGTCTTACCCCTGTATACACTTCAGACGCATACACCTCAATAGAGGAACATATTGATTAAATAAAAAGAAATATAACGGATCTTCAGTAGAGAAAGGAAGGAATGGATATCTCTGAGCCATAGTGAACAATATTTATGTGGCAATTGGACTAACTTTCCAGGGTAGGGTCATTAACCCTACGCCCAACCCTCTCTTTTTCCGTCTTAGGACTGTCTAGAAAGTTAGTAAACTATTAAAGTAGGCATGGATGACATGGAAGAGATCGTGTGAGTATGAGATGGGAAACTGGATAAAGAGAACTGCAGAGAACAGGAGAAAGTGGAGATGTACTACTGAACCACATGTTCCACTCAGAACCATAGGGAATAATAGTATAGAGTAGTTATTGTAAAACATTTATAAAAATGGTGTTACATATTACAATAAAATTGTGAATAAGCTTCGTCCAGATATTATTGAAAACAAAACACGTAGTTCAGCGAAGCGGCCTCACATGAAATTTACTTGAGCCTGGATTTCAAGGGAGGCTTAGCTAGCTAGATCCTAAAGAGAACAATTTCATCACCTTTGAGAGGAACATTCACCTCAGAAACGGTGAGAGTAGTCTCTTCTGGTCATCCATTGGTCCCCGGGAGGTTTGCAGAAAAGTCCTCGAGTCTGAGCCCATTCATGTGCATATATCAATTCACCTGTTCTTTTTGAGTCCGGTATATTGGCCGTTATACCCGTATCCTGTCTAAATGAATCCAGGATGGTTGTAGAAAGTTAGTATTGGCTGTGTCAGGAGTGAGATAATCGAATACCTTGTCAACAATGGCCATTTCATCTTAAAAAATGCCTCCTTCAGAGGGATCTAAAGGGAGAAGAATAACCTACCAAAGACAGGAAATATGGTTCCATCTCCTTCGCATTTCTGAAGCTGTAGTCATTCATTTAGAGGAACTGAAGCTGTGCAAACAAAAGAAAATTATTCGACCACTTCTACTACCACGATAACAGCCTTGTTGACTTGTGTTAAGCTACGTTTTGAAAGGTTGTGTTTTCTAACTTCTTATAACTTGTATTTTTTCTTCAGAACTCTTACATAATTACATATTTTCCTTCATTTCTATGTGAATCCTGCTCACAACTCACTTACTAAATTGTTGATCTTATTATGTAACTCTAATACACTGATTCAACTCGTTTTATACATTGACTAATACTAATAAATATGTTTTTTACAACTCATTACTTTTGTTACCATCCTCTTTCATGAAAAGCAGATTGTATATAAATGGTATTGTGCAGCTTTAGATGGGAATATATTCGCCGACAAGAGCCTGGTCACTGTAAAACGGCTTTTATTTTCATTATTATAATATTATTATTCCCTCGGATTTCGATTGAAATATATGGCTTGAACAACACATCTACACTTTCATTGCTTTTCTGCTGTCCTTTTCAGCTGGCTAACCACACGATTGCCCACAGTCTCTCATATTCTCCCCGATAATCTTCTGCATGTCACCGTCGTGCCAAAGATCCACCCGTCGCTTCCCAATTGGATCCTATTCAAGCAGTGGCCTGGCGCGCAATGTAATTGAATGACCTTTTCAACTTATGCCCTATCCATCTCCATTTCTTCCCATATATATATATATATATATGCGTCGGTGGCACAGTGGTTAGGACTCTCGCCGACCATGCGCATGGTCCGGGGTTCGAGCCCTCGACGACGCACACCTGATATCTATGTTCGGCCTGCGAATTTCTGGCCACCGTTATCCACGCTGAAAATTCCATACTTGTACCAAAAATGCAGTGTGGAATCAAGCTGTAATCTAAATAAAAAATATATATATATAGGTAAAAGCTTTCCTAAACATATGTCTTCTCTCGACACCGAACATCAGATGGACAGCTGGAGAAGATAAGTGACAGTGAACTCTAGAAGATAGAGTACCAGCCAGCAAGCAACTGCCTAACCAATACGCGAAAGGATATATACACAGACTAGATATGACCTTAGGAAATCATCAAGTGATCTAATACACCGTGTCCTCCATTGAAATTCAAATGAGAAGTGATAAGTTAGACATAAAGGAATAACATGAAGAAGAGCATTTAAGAGGGGGGAACGAGAGATTGTGGAAAGTAGAGAACTAAGTGTTCGGTTGAGTCCATACGAGACAGAAAGGAACGATGTCGATTAATAACAGTAATGTTGATAAACGTTTTCATCAGCACTGGGACTTATTCATTGATGATTTGTACTCAGTATTCAATTATTCTAAGAAAATATATACTAATTACCATGAATAGGAGAAATCTAAAGAATGTTGTCTATTCCACAAATCTGATCACCTCTGCATTGTTTACACCACGGATAATACATCTGGAGATGCCTTCGTCAATCAGTCAGCCAAAACAGTTCTTACAGTACAGTTTGAAATTCTTAAACTTTGATATAAAGTTGCATCCAAATTAGTCAACAACAAAATGTATATTACAAGGTATAGGTAACCAAAATTGATAATACCAACCTTTTTGGCATTACCAGTAACCATAATTTCAAAAAAGGTGCAAAATTGTTTAAAATTATGTTCATAATGTTAATAGCTAAAATTATAAGTGAATTGAAATATTTTTCAGCCTAGATTACAAATAGGAGAAGGTAAGAGAGCGAATTAGTTTGCCAATAACATAGTTAGTCATAGATTTCACGCTTAACACAACCTCTATTACATGGAACACGGGAGGGTCATGCATGATATCGTTGAGGTGTTGTACTTGTTTGTATGGGCATATAGCCTTTTATGATGGCTCTTATTCCTACCAGATGAGATACAAGCTGGGGAAGAGCAGTGAATAGAGAGAGTATTGAGAGTCATATAATATAGACTTAACCGATTTCCATATAATATAGTTCTTTCAAAGTAGCGCAGAAAAGACTAACGGAAGAACAGTGTAGAGGAATAGATCAGACGCAGGAGTTAGCAAATTTTATAAACAGAGGTTGAATTATCTCTGATTATCTCAACTTCCTAATGTAGTGGATTAGACGGAATGGTTTCTTAGAAAATGACAAAATATAGGAGGACCAGGAAACGTCAGAAGATAGAAATATATCAAGATTTTTCATGCCTCGCTTAGTTTATATTTCAGTGCCTTTCATCCTACAAGCAGTATTTTGTGAATAAGCGAGTTCGTGTGAATCAAGTTAATGCGTAAAGGTGAAGTTAACTGCGTAACGTTCAACGGAGGGATTTAAATTCAGACCATTAAGCTTAGACCACCGGCTAATGTTGGACAGAAGGCTATTCAGTCAGTTTAGAACAGTCAACTTGGGAGGTGATTGGCAACGAGACAGTACATAAAGTCGTCAGCATAAATTTGATCCCTTCAGAACAAGGCAAGTTAGTCATGTAAGAAGAGGAGAGAGAACGGCGCCCCAAGGGACATCAGCTTTAGTATGCAAGTCAGAGGAAGATTTGTCTTTATATACAATATAAAACATTCTGTTCAACGAACAGGAATGCAATCAGCTCAGGACTGAGTTTGATTCAGGGAATAAAATAAATAGTAATTGTTATTATTAAAATCAGTTCTTATATGTGGTCCACAGACGGGATCAGTCTCCGAAAGTATTTCCAAACAGACTAAGCCAATTTTGATCAGTCCTTTAAGATTTTTTGGTACCCAAGTTCGGATATACCTGTCTGAACAAGATAAGTAAGCAACAGGGAACTCTGGAAGGTAGCAAACCAACTAAGAGCTCACTATCTAACAAATATTCTGAAGAAAATGAAAATTGATTAGACCTTCGATTTATATCACACGTAAAGCTATGGAACAAAAAGTGATGAAATGAACCCAATTAGATGAAATGAACGTCAGAGAATGTCACGAGGGAGGTTTTGTGAAGAGGAAATGAAAATCCAGGTTAAGTGTGGGACTAGTAAACAAAAGACTACAGTAAACAGAATATTAGCAATATGTACAGATGAAGCAATACTTTCCATTTGCAACCCCTTGAGATAAATCATTTTAATAGATATAATAATTCAGTTAACTGTTTTAAAATGTTAGTTCGTAAAGATTTGATTTGTTTCAACTTTAACCACGGATTGATATAAGATTGAAAACCATTGAAAACGAATACTGAACAACAGTTTTTCCTAGTTTGGGACATTTTGCCCCCACACAGAGTTTCTAGCCCAGGACCTTTGGTTTACAGGAAAACCTCGTAGACCATTCAGCCTCTGGGATCCAACTCAATGGCTTATAAGTCTTAACTTCTTCCGGTCTGTAATCTCAAGGTGACCGTAAGCCAATATCATCCACAGCGAGTATTTTTTCTCACTTCCGGCCTAGTGAACTCTGGGCAACTTCTGACTCTAGTTAGCATCAGATCATTATCTGTCATAACATATTTTTAATCATCATTGTTATTTTTAAACATATTTTACAATTTATTCAGTGAAAAGTAGATATATGCTGCTTACCTTATTACAACCAGATCTGAGGATTTTATTCATGAGGATTCTTTTCTGATCTACAGAACTGGAAAAAAAAACATGTAGAAAAATCACTTAGTTAGATAATGTTAGAAGAAACTGTAATGCGACGCTTTTAATATTTGTAATTTGATAGCTGGTTCAAAGTAATCATGTTTTACAAGACAATTGCAGCGAAGAAAATTTTCTTTTCGACGAAGTCATCATCTAGGGATAGTTGTACATTCGTGTATATATGATAAATGGGTGGGAAGGTTCCAGAATAATTTCCCGTTAAGGGTCAAATTAATAAAAATTACAATTAGGAATTAGAATGCCATAATATACACAGGGGGAGACAGATAAAACTCAAACAGAGTAGCATCATAATTACTAAGAAGATTGACATTGTACAATTGGGAGTTAGAAATATAGAAATAACAAAATAGACAAGATGTTTAGATAAAAACTAATGTGATGAATAATTTTCGATAAAGAAAGGAAGACGAAATTTGCAGTATAAAATGATATCATCATTCTATTCCACAGGTTCTCATCAGCTGCAGACTACCTGAAATTACAATGGTTATATAGATGATAATAACATACTTTAATGTTCGAGTGGTGGTAGAAAAGAGATACTATAAAATTGACGCATCTAAATGAAAGCATTACAATGTTTTTAGTTTAAGTTTTCATCATCAATGCTTATGAATTCACGTGCACTTGCGGGAGCAAGTACATTGGAAGGACAGAAAGAAGGGCTTCTATCCGGTTTTCTGAACATATTCCCAAAAACCTGTGCCTGAAAGGAAGCAGATATTCCCAGAGTGCAATTACCAGACACATTATTGATACCGGACATCTCGTAGAGATTTCTAAGTCCTTCAAAATATTAAATAGACAAAGGACAGCAAATTTACTACGATTTGCCGAAGCAATCGCAATCAAAAGACTTAAACCAGACTTATGCATACAGAAAGAGAGTGTGATTAACCTCTCACTCCCTTGGTAACAGAATTTTGATTTTGATTAGTCATCTAATTCAGTGATCTCAACTCACTGAACAAATCTTAATCTCATAAACTGTAACCGTTTTTGTTTTTTTTTTTTTTTTTTTCTTGAGTTGCTATGTGAACCTAAAAGCTAACACTGTTCTGTTAATCAATTTTTTCTGTTTTCTCTCTTACCCCTCCCCCTCTTTTCAACTTTAAAAGTGTATAAATTGATGATGAAAACTTAAACTAAAAACATTGTAATGCTTTCATTTAGATGCGTCAATTTTATAGTATCTCTTTTCTACCACCACTCGAACATTAAAGTATGTTATTATCATCTATATAACCATTGTAATTTCAGGTAGTCTGCAGCTGATGAGAACCTGTGAAATAGAATGATATCATTTTATACTGCAAATTTCGTCTTCCTTTCTTATCGAAATTTATCAAGGGAACCAAATGTATGAATTTGATGAATAATTGTTTATGCAATCAGGGATTAAATATGTATTTTCATACCCGAACTTCGTGTTTATTTTGTCATTTTACTATTTCTACATATTTAATCCCTGATTGCATAAACAATTATTCATCACATTAGTTTTTATCCAAACATCTTGTCTATTTTGTTATTTCTACATTTCTAACCCCTAATTGCACGATGTCAATCTTCTTAGTTATTATAATGCTACTTTGTTTGGGCTTTACCGCACCCCCTGTTTATTATGGCATTCTAATTCCTAATTTTAATTTTTATTAATTTGACCCTTAACCGGAAATTATTTTGGAACTTTCCCATCCATTTGATATAAGTACACAAATGTACAGCCTAGATGATGTATTCGTCGAAAAGAAAATTTTCTTCGCTGCGATTGTCTTGTAAATAACTCCTAATCATGTTTTACTGAATTTAGTTGGCTTTGGACGTTTTGTTTTGTTTTGTCAGCTTTCCTGGTTACTATTTATCTCTTAGTGTTGAGGATATTTCGAAAGAAACGATAAAGACTGACTCGTGGGAAATCAGAGTTCTGACAATGAGGAACAGTAACTTTGAGATGTTGTCGAACTGATTGGTGACAAATCATAAGTTGAATAGGAAAAAATCTGATAAAACTCTGAACATTACTCATTCAGGTTATAAACAAGTTCCATTGTTTCACGGTAGAATACCATTTCGCAATGAGAATAATCTATCCCTCTATCCAAATACATCCATTACACATTCTGAAGAGTATAATGATCATTAGAAGGAAGGCTTCTTATCAGTATTAAACAAAAACTGAGTCACTAACAATCATATAGTTCATTTTCAAGGAAGATCCTACTGCGTCTCATGGATTTCAGCTTATGACGTCCTTACAAAAGACAGAGCTTCAATAAATACCTTGCAAAACCTTAGACAGTCTAAATCATGGAGCCACCTATGGTGTTCAGTAGATCACTTTTCATCATCTGAATATATTTTCGACTTTCTGAAAAAGTCAAAATGGAATCTCCCCTAAAATGGTGCAGTTTGCGATTATTTTGTTCCTCTAAGTTTCTCAACTCTGTTCAGTATAATGATGACAGTGCATTTTTTGTTCTACAGTACTCATATTGTACTCAGAAAATTAACTAGACTGGATGGCTGTATAACCATACTGTTGAGGTAGTACTGAGTTTTTGATGTTAATTTTTGTTAAGTGAAACAACAGGAATAAGACGAGGAATAACCTTCTTCTAGCTGCCTTTGGAACATTTCGCGGTCGCTTATCTCTCAAGTAGGTTGCGAACAGTTTTAAAGTAGGACTCAAAGATCGATTCCCCGGCGTTCATAAAACAACGAGTCAGTTTTCGTCGTTACATGTAGTGGACTCTGAATTATTGTTATAAGATTATAGAAGGCAATATACAGGAAGCTTTTAACCTAAGTTCCTGCTACCTGGCCTTCATCAGAGTAGCAAGGCGTGTATCTGCAGTCTTGAAGAAAACAATTCATGTCTCTTCTGAGATTCTGAACTACATCACCCAGTTCTGCAGTTAGACACATTAATAGTGAGCTATTCGGGCTTGGCATTGACCTGTTGGACAAAAGGTAGTAATGAGTATCATGTGTCTAGTCCTTGGTGCTGATGCATACGGAATTTTATCAGTCAACTTTACAATGTGGCTATCATGCTACCAGGTGACTAGCTATATCGGCTTCCTGGTAAATACCTCTAACTATTTAATAGCATACACGTCCATGTCATGATCCCATAACTAATATGGTTTCACGACAAAATCAATGTTAAGTCTACTCAAAATCTCTACGAAACTCAAAACCTGAACATAAATTTTCTTTTCACCCATCCATTAGGATGACTGTCAAGAGAAGAGACAAATTAGTCAATGTACAAAAATACGTCTGCATTCGCTTACCATTGCCGATGAATTAGCCCCATAATTACTGAATCTTTTGTTAGAGAATGACTTCGAATCAGTTTGCACCAGTTAGCCAATGATTGACTAGTAATATTACCATTATTATTCTTGTTATTTTCTATAAGATTCGATGGTTTCACTCCTGGTATACTTAGCGAACGATTATATTTCAATTTTCGTGTATCCAAAACCACTAAATCGATTGGCTGTGAAGGGGGAGGAAGATAAAAATAAGTTTATGAAGAAATATTCCATTTCAAAAGAGAAGTTGTCAGTAAAGTATCATTAAATATAATTAAAGAAATTTTTAATCTTTGGAATACATTTCAGGTACACAATAGTGCCTAATTACTCCATTGTGAAGTCAGTGCTACTTTATGGATCAGAGATTTGGTGCGTAATGAAGAGCACCTCAAACAAACTACAGAACTTCACCAACAGCTGTCTTCCCTCAGTACTTCGCTCAAGATTAGATGGCCGACCAGAAAAGACCGGCAACAGGGATGTCTGGCAGTGAGCGAACCAACCCATAAGGAATCAATTTTGCAACAAATATACAAGAAGAAATGGAGGTGAATTGGCCATACTTTGAGAAAACAAACTATCAAGTGAGTGGCATAACACGCCAGGCAATCACTCGAGTCCCACTCGAGAAGAAGCGGCGAGTTGGTCGTTAGTGCAAGGATGACACGGAGGAGGCGATGATGCAAAGAGGAGATGTAGGCATGTGGGCAGATGTGGAGGCAGGTGAAAACGTTGACAGAGAACCAAACGCAATGGAGACGTGCGGCTATAGCCGTATATTCTTGTAGGAACTAAAATAAACAACAATAATAATAGTGCCTAATTACGATGTTGAGAGGTATTTTCTCTGTCAGACTGTGTTTAATTGATACACTAATGTTGGTGTAATGGGTAGTGGGTGATTGCCTCTGGTAGAAAGAAAATCTTCAAAATGGTAAGATTAGAACCAGAGATCTTCAAGATACCATTTCTGTGCAATCATCATGAGTAATGAACAACTTGGAAATAAGAACAAACAGTTCAGTGAAGTGTCTTCTTTCGGCAAATTCATCCACTTATCTGTACAATCTCAATTGTATTTAATTGTTATTGAGCGTGTGTGTACATTAGGTCTGTCAAACAAGAATAAAAATGAGTTTGAGTTTTAATCACGCTTGTTGACAGGCGTTTCATCATCTCTGAGAACACAATTCATTGCATAAACGCTAAGAGCAGTGTTCTCTAGTCGTCTCTTGGTCCACAGAAGCCTTGAGGATATGATCTCACTTTTGACCACATATATGTGCATGCATATGTCAGTTCACCTGTTCATCTGGAGTCAGGCATATTGGTCGTTCGATGAGTATCTTGCGTAAAGGCGTTGAAGAATACTAAACCAAACGGCTGCAGAAACTTGATCAATACTGGGCATTCCATCTCAACAAAAGCCTCCTTCAAAGTATTCTACAAAGTGAAGAATAATAACCTGTCAAAGACAGAAAAATACGCTTTCGTTACCTTAGGCATTCCAGCTAGCGAATCGAGAATTATGCTTACAAAAGAAAATTACTCAACCACATCTATTGTCATGGTAACAACTTTGTTGATTTCTACTGACTTGAGTTTCTGTTTGTTCGTTTGTTTTTCTATCTCTTTATAATTCTTGTATTTCTTTAGAATTCTTATATAATTTTCATGTTTTCTTTCGTTTTTGTGTACATCCTGTGTAGAGCTCATCCATTGAATAATTCATGGTATTGTGTAACTTCGAAACACCCATTGACTGACGTCAACAAATATGATTGTGATAACTCCTTTTTTATGAGCAATTCTATAATAAATGCAACTGTACTGTTAACGATCACCTTGTCAATGCTGGTGAATATTGAATAGTTGGTTTATTCGAACTGGTCTCTATTCTCAGCAGACAAGAAGGCTGTCATCGCTTAATCGTGTACTGGTTGGCAGAAGATTGGAGAAATACGATAAGAAGTATTGTTGTATGTTGTAGAAAAGTTTATTTACAGACTTTGTCGCTGATTAACCATTATAAATCTGTTTCATTATCACTTGAAGAATCAGCATTCTTGTTGCACAACCATTTTCTGCTGTTCTGTGTCGGTTACAGTATATAGTGTTCTGGGTACTAAGGTTAGTCTTCTGAAAGCAGGGATAGGTCCAGGAGTTCTGCGATCTGGATATTTGATACACCTCTTCACTGAACTACGTGTTTTGTTTTTGTTAATGACGCGTGAAGTAAGCTGCTTAATCTTGTATAGTCCATTTCTAGTATGAACTTCTGGACCTGAAATCAATCATATAGTCAGCATTCTTCTACTTGATGTTTTGCCTTTATGCTTACAAGATACAAATTAAATTCAGAAGAAAGGGAAGTTCCTCTGTAAGTTAAAAGTTAGTCTTAAAAAGGATCTAAATTTCCTTTTCTTGATGTTAAAGAAGAGCTGACGGAACTTAATGAAGGTCCATCCATAGGACCAACTGACAAGCTTCTACAGATGGATACCAATCAGTCGAAAAAGAAACCTAATTAAATCTCTTGCTACTTGCGTCTAACGCATCTGTAGCTTGGATATCCTGGATTAAGAACAACACTTCCTGAAAGAAATCTTCATACAAAACAGATATCCACCACGATTCATAGACAAAAAATATCAAACAGAAAATCCCAAGGAAAAGACGCCATCCGCATCAAAATAGATACCTTGTATGAACCTCAACTTGAAAGGTGACCTACTAAAAGATGTCCTTAGGAGGAGAATTTCCACTTCTTGAAGAAGAACTTTCTTTGCAGCAACATTGAGAGTAGTGTTCCCCGGTTACCTGCTGATCTGCAGAAGTCCAAAGGACGAAATCTCACACCTGACCACTTCTATATATATATATATATATATATATATATATATATATATATATTGATTACAGCTTGATTCCACACTGTATTTTTGGTACAAGTATGTAATTTTCAGCGTGGATGTCGGTAGCCCAAATTTTGCAGGCCAACCAAAGATATCAGGTGTGCGTCGGCGAGGGCTCGAACCCCGGACCATGTGCATGGTCGGCGAGAGTCCTAACCACTGTGCCACCGACGCACATATATATATATATATATCAGTTCACCTGTTGGTGTGGAGCCAGTTACATCAGTTTTTCAACGCTCATCCTGTCAAAAAGAGTCAAAAAACACTATCCAGCGTGGCTGAGAAACGGAATTAGTGGCCATAAAAAGAAGTGCAATAACCGAACATCTCGTCAACACTGGTCACTCTATCTTAACAAACTCCTACTTCAAAGTAATCTACAAAGTGAAGAATAACCTATCAAAGACAATACTTTTCATCTTCTTTGCATTGCAGAGGCCGTAGTCATTCATTTAGAAGAACCAGAAGTATGCATACAAAAGAAAAGTATTCAGCTACTTGTACACTACCACGGTAACAACTCTGTTGATCTGACTTACCTTTTGCCTTTTTGCTCGTTTTTCTAACTACTGAAAACCCTTACGTGTTTCCATATTTTATTTTGTTTTTATGTACATCCTGAGCACAACTCTTTCATAAAACCCTTCATGTTATTACGTAACTTTTGTTTAACAATCGTTTGTGACAACTCATCACTTTTGTTACTACCCTCTTATATCAACCACTACCTTTTCTCCAATCCGATCCATCCTTTGTCATTCAGCTAGGATTTCTCTCGTGGGAGGTGATAGCTAGACATGCGTAACATATGTTTTCCTAACCATCTCAATCGGTGTAACTTCACAACCTCGTCTATTGATTTCTCCTCCCACTTACCTGTCACTCGACAGAAGCCTGAGATCAATATTACTCACCCTATTATACCGCCAAACACAAGAGATAGGACGCAGGCACTCATGATCAAAAACACCTAGTCTTTTTATGACTTCCACTTTCAATGGTCATGTCTCACTGACAGCCATAAAGGGGGACAGAGAGAAATGCTGAGCAGCATACAAGTCGTTTGATCGATAGTCAGGCGGATATTAGGTCTACATCAGAGACGGCATAAACTGGCGTATGCCAGAAGAGCCTTCTGTATTCATCATACGACCATTGATTTCAGTCAATCAGAAGTATATAGTTTTATGCAAACATTAGTCTTGATTGATAAGTTCAGACCAATTATAAACATGTTCAAAGACATTTGATAAATTCTATGTTAAAATCTCCAGTCATTTTGAGATAAATGTCTCTTGGACGTATTACACAAGACAAAAATTGGGAGACTTCTGGTTGCGTGAGCACCATCACACACATTTTTGGGTTGCAGGTACATAAAGATGACAAGTTTTAAATAGTAAACAACGCACGTTCTAGATCACATTGGTCGTTAATATTTTCACAAAATCACCAATTTATTTGATTTTACCAGACTGCCGACACTGCATATCAAAGTAGACACCGAAACAAACTTGATTGTCAGAGAGCTCATTGGTCAGATCTTGCTTGTATTTTAATTAAATAATCCGAGTCTCCGGAAATCCTATAGTCTGAATAACAAGCTCCAGCTCATCGATGACTACCGGATGGACGTCCTTAAACTGTGTGATGAGAAACTGTGAACAATGAACTCCACTGTGTCAAGCTGAGGTGGACAGTCACCTAAGGCATTAGTTCACGGTGGAGTAATATCATAAAAGGACAAATTTAGAGTTCACGAGTTATTGAATTCCGGCCTAAGTGGCTGAATAGTCAGCTAGCTTGGTCTCGTAATCTGAAGACCTTAGCTGAGATTCATCTTGAAGTCGTGGATCGTGGTGTGGTCCAATGCTTTCTGGTTTTCACTGATCTCTTTAACTGATGTTGGTTCGTGGTGACATCTAATAGTCAAAACATATTTCATGTCTGGCAGGTCTCCAGGTAAGACGACGATGTAAGAAAACACATATTCTTACTTTAAAAATACCGCCAATTACGTCAGTCTGGCGGCCTACTTCAAAATTGGGCTACCGAAAGAAGCCTCCATCACTATATTGCATATAATTCCTCTGATTCAGTTTGTTTAAATCTGCTAAAATATGACCTCTAATGGTATTTTCTACTCTTGCAAGTATTTAAAACCTTCTGATTCGCAAGTGTCTATTAAACTTCAGAAAAGGCCTGATCGTGGGTGGCGACGTATCCCAATACGTCAGATAACTGCTCCCGAGTTATGTCCTTGGGTTTCAAAATGTACTCCTGTATTTTTATAATTTGCTTTCATTCAAATGTCATGAATTTATCTAAGCAGACAAAGGAGAAATACCATAATGGATTAGGTCAGATAAGATTGTATGACAAGATCTACTTTCAGTTAATATTTTACCTGAAGATCCAGTGCCAAGGGAAAACATCATGTAATAAACACAATTAAAATTCTGGATCAATATTATTACTTATTATAATTAAATCTTTGAAACATACTTGTTGTAATTCAACTAATTTTTCAATGAAATTCTTCTCAACATCCTTTGATGATGGGTTTTCCACGCATGTATTGATCAATGTACAATTGTGTTTTAATTGTTGCGCGGCTTCAATCATCAATTGAGTTTGTTTATCACTCCGAAGGAAAATTAAGACAATCTGAAAGGAAAGAAAGAGAGACAGTGGGAGATGAAAATTCTACTCTGAACAAAATATTAGCAACATCATTGCGAAGAAATTGATGACAAATGCAATCGTGCTAGAAATTCCAAGTGTACACATCACGTAAAAGACAGAAAATGGAAAAAGAGTATGTGATCAAGCTGTGCCCTGGGCTAGCGTACTGTTCGGACGCCCAAACATAAACTGGTGGTTGTCTTAGAGGACCACCCCTCATCAAGCCTTTGATTCGAAGTCTGATCTACTAGGCAATGGAGCAGCTACGTCCCCAGATTCGTATGCCATTTGATCTGTTTGCATTCTGGAGACCATGAACACTACCACAGAATTAGAATCAGCGTTTTGCAGGTACTCTAGGCAAATCTACATCCTGCTAGTCCACTTGTAGACTCCAGACATTATAATATGCTCTTTTGATTTTGTGAGAAACATCTCCACCGTGTAGAGGTAGCAAACTGTTTGCTGCTATAAAACTGTAGCCACATGGGAGTATTTCGAGGGTAAGACCACCATCCACCCACTCTCAGTGGTACCAAGTCATTTATCGGGACGTGTGGATTATTCTAAATATTTTTTAAGAAACAGTAAGTTAAAATTCCCTCGTTTTATTCTGTTAAAAAGTTATTGTTTTTCTGTTTCTGAGATGCATTTAATACTTTCTACACTAAAAGTTTGCTATTTTCGATTTCGTGTCTGTTTTTGTGTGGTCAGTTTTATTTGTGTTTAGCTATTGTCTCTGGTTTTAATCTAAGGCATAGCCGTAGTACTTAATGTCAAGCCTTTAGAAGTGTTTTCACTATGGGGGTAATAAATTACTGCTCAGACAAACTGTGATACCAGCCTAGTCTATGAGAATGTGAGAAAATTCAGCTCAGTTACTCGATCTTTTCTCTCTAATCAATAAACGGAGAATAGCTTGATTATTGTTGTATCTAAGATCCCAGGAGATAATTCCATTATGAATAAAATCTATTTTGATAAAGTCTCATACAGTGTTATACAGGAATACTTACTGACGACCAACATTTGGAGCACAATTTATTGCCGCTCATAATCATAGAAAGCCAATCACACAACTTTCTTACTTCTTTTATACATTTTCATTACTTATCATAGCTTGACGTGATTGGTAGTAGTATTTGCCATATTTTCGATATGACTAATGAGTCATTTCTGTTCCATGTGTTGGGTGTAGAGACAATGAACCAAGATTCAGTGATCAACCTCTCTCTATCTCCACCAACCTATATTACTTCAAAGAATTTTAACCCTCTCCCACCCTATTGTGCACCTGTGTGTTAACGGCAGAAGAAGCATCCAAAGAAGATAGGACTTCCTTCAGGTGAACATAGAGAAAGCAGATGTGATGAAGATTCCCGGCCAACATCAACGGTAACAGCAACAACAGTCAACAAACAGTATAAACGGGTGGAACCTGAAAGAAACAGCCTCCTTCACCTACCCTACCTGGGAAGCACCGTTTCAACTACGGGCGGAACTGATGAGGATATCAAAGCAAGACAAGCTTTCATTACTCTTAAGTCTGTGTGGAGGTCAACAGCACGCCTGAGCATGGAAAATAAGATCCGGATTTTCAACTTCCATGTGAAATCAGTGCTACTACAGAGTTCAGAGACTTGGCTCATCATGAAGAGCACTTCAAACAAACTACAGACCTTCACCAAAAGTTGTCTTCGCTCATTACTCAAGATCAGATGGCCAGAAAAGATCAGCAATAGGGATCTCTGGCAGTGAGTGAACCAATCAGGAACTGATTGTGCAACAAATAAGGAGAAAGAAATGAAGATGGATTGGAAATACTCTGAAGAAACCAGCAAGTGACATCACTAGACAAGCCCTCGAGTGAAACCCGAAAGGGAAGTGGGGAGTTGGTCGTCAGTGTGAGGGTGACTTGGAGGAGGTCATGTGAGTAGGAGGTGAAGGCACGTGGGTAGACGTGGAGCCAGGTGAAAAGGTTGGCAGAGAACCAAACGCAATGGAGATGTGTAGCTGTAGCCCTATGTTCCTCTGTGAACTAAACGAAACAATAATAATAATATCCCATTACTTACTGAAATTTAAAATAGCAGACGTGAGGCAGTATGTTTGAATTCCTAAAATAATTTTTTCATTGACTATCCTTGTCCTATGAATAATTTCAGGATCAACTGATCCAGAGTTACTCATACAACTTTCCGATTTGAGAGCAACAATAAATAAATTGTGCTGGAAACGTGGTCATCAGTAAATATTACCACTGTATGATAATACTGTAAGACTTTATCAAAATAAAATTTTCTCTATAATAGAATTATACTCTATCAAAATGCCTAAGTTTTATTCTTAAATCGATAAAAATTCTACTTTTGAACAACATATCAGCAGGAGGGAATTGATTGCAGAAATTCCAAGTGCACACACATCACAAAAAAGAGGGAAAAGGTATGCGAGTACACTAAGTGGTGTACATAAATACACGCGTATTCGACATAGTACATAACTTTTCTTCAGTGTTACAAAAACGCATCAGAGAGAGAGAGAGAGGCGGGGAGGATGATGGACAGAATGGCATTTCCATCCACAAACAAAAAAAGTAATGCTCGGCTGTACTTGTCGACTTTATAGTTGCCACATAGTGTGATTTAATTGTGTCATAATTTTAGTATTAAGTCTAATCTATCATACGGTTTATTTCCTTCATTTCATATATAGACAGACAACCAAAGGGGATCACATACTGCCAATCTATCCGTCGAATTAGATTACATTATTGGTGAGAACAAAAACAAAACCCCACACTCTGTCAGAAGTGAAAATATCAGTGTTCTTCTTTCTATTTAACTTTTTATTCAGTGACATGTAAATAAGAGGGGGAAAAGTGTACACCATAGGAGTTAGGCAGTTCTAACTTATCATCACAGTTTTTGGATTAAAAAGACAATTATTAGAGGCAATTATCTAGTGAAAATCAACTACAGATTCAAATAACCTGAGCTACAACTATTTGTGATCAATGGATATTTCCGTTTACCCCAGACCTTTAACAATCTCATTTAACAGCTACTGTATGAAGACGAAGTCATCTGTTAAATCATTTATTTATTTATCATTCCCTTGAGTTCCGTGTGGAACATAGGGCTTCAAGAACATATCTTCACTTTGTCCTATTTTCTACCGTCCTCTTCAGCCTGGACCCCGGCTGATCACAATCTCTCTTCTCCTTCTCCTCATACCATCTCCTCCATGTCTTCCTCGCACCGACGACCCACTGGTCGCTTCCCATTTGGATTACACTCTGGCGACAGTCTGGAGCAAGATTCCATTCGGCGGCTTGCTCAGTGTATCCCCTACCCATCTACGCTTTCTTCTACATATTTCTTGCCCAATCGGCACTCGTCTGTTGGTTTGTTCCCATAGTCTCTTGTTGCTTATTCTTTCTGGCCAGCCACTTGATCTTCAGTATGGAGTCAGTGTGAAGGCAGCTCTTGATGAAAGTCTGAAACACAGGCTGTTGGAAATCCTTTTCGTGATTCACTGGCAACGTTTCTGACCCATATAGAATGCCAACTTGACATTGGTGTTGAAAATGCGAATCTTGTTCTTTATGCTAAGTGTGGAAGATTTCTAAACTGATTTCAGGTTGATGGAGGTTGTATCTTGTCTTTCCGATTCCCGCTGCGTTTGACATCTTCATCCGTTCCGCCCGGCAGTTGAAACGATACTGCCTGACCAGATAAGTCAAGGAAGTGACCTCTGTTAAATCTCTCCCATTGATGGTAGTTGGTGTTGATTGTTATTGCTGTTGGTGGTAGTTGGTTATCTTCATCACCTCCGCCTTCTCGATTTCCACCTGCAGTCCTGTTTCCTCTGCCTGTCTATTCTGCCAGTTTTTGGGTTTTAGCTTGCAAGTTTTTGATTTTGTCAAATGAACAACAACAAAAAATTGGTTGAAGTCTATGAAGTGAAGACAGTAGGGAGAAAAGGCTGTCTGCTATCGCCTACAATGATACTCCTAATTGTGATACACTGGATTATTCGGAATACTGCACATGGAGCAGCGAGAAGACAGGAATACATTCGACCCATAGGGATGCTGTAGAAATGATGTCTCCTTCTCACTCGGTGCCCGATTATTTAAGAACTTTTCTGTCAAATCTTGACCACAGTTCATATACGGCTGTAGAAGATCTGAATTCTGAGGATAATTTACGGCTTGTGTCACGCAAACTTGACGACCTACAAGCGAAAACCAACAAGCTGCCAGAAGAAGTAGACAGGACTTCAGGTGAGCACAGAGAAGATGGAGATGACGAAAATAACTAGGCAATAACAACAAGCACCAACCGTCACCACCAACACAATCATTTTAAAGAAAGGCTCTTTCGTCACTTATTATCTAGACATTACTGCCTCAACTACAGGCGACGGCAGGGATGACGATATCAAAAGAAGGCCTGGAAAGGCAACAGAGACATTTATCACTCTAAAATCATCTAGGAACTCTTCTGCACTCAAAATAAAGAACAAAATTCGAAATGGAAGTCAATTACCAGAACGGACACTAATTCCCTCAATGGTTCCAGATGCGCTTCCTGACGATTTCAAACTGTAACAACAGAAGACAAGGGCCGGCAACAGATCGTTTTGTTACGGAAATCAGCACGTATTTATATATACTTTACGTATATTATTATAGCTTATTCGAGCAAACACAGTCTTCTGATTGGTTGTTTCTTGCTCAAGGTTACTCTATACTGCTTGTGCCTGGTTTCTCAGAAAGTTAAGCCATATATCTGCGAATCGTATTTACTCAAGTTAAGTCTGCTGTGGTTGGTTGTGGAATCAGTCTTGTTCATATTTTCTCACGACCAACATTAGCGACATAGACATTGACGTAAATTAATGTCTACTAATTGGCTAGCAGCCTGCTCTCACCACAAAACTAACAATAAACGCAGACTCATGGTTCCCTCCAAATT